GGCTCACAGGGCTATACCAAATAAATGAAACTGAAAACTGAAAAACTGAAACAGAAGTGCATTGGCAAAGAGGATGTTAATTGTTGTCAAGATAGGCGAGTGGCACAATCGCAGTTCGGCGATTGTTGAGATGTAAATATCAACCATAATTTACAGACCCGTGTCAATCCACTGCTGGAAGAATGACTCCCCAGCTGTCGGTCATGGGTGTCGTATGACGTTGCCTCATCACGATGGGGCGCTAACCACCGCGCCACCGCTCCACCGAACGATTCGCCAAAATAGATTCGGTGTTGTAAATCGGTGCTCGCGCGGATAGATGGGAATTCTAGGGGCTTATATATAAGTTGATAATTTAGATGGATGGATGGATTTTAAGATAAGGGGGGAGGTTAAAAGCCAAGATGAAATCGATAGCTATTTAGGTTGTTGAGAGAGATAAATAAATTCGATGTGTTGGTAATCAGGAGGAGAGAGTCCGTTGAGAGAAGGCCTTCTCGTACGGGCATCGTAAAACATCTCTCGCCGTCAGTAAACAAGGACGCTCGCTATCACTGCCACCAGCACCGAGGCGTCGTTTCACTCCTACAACAAATCGCCCATTGATCACGGGGTATGCACGTTGTATGTGCGTGTAGATGTGTGTGTGTGTAGATGTGTGTGGGTTCTTTGGGTCTTTCGGTAAATTCACGTAGATAGGTTCAAGGAAAATAACAAAAAACTACGACGTTTCGATCACAACACAAGCGATCGTTAGGATGACGATCGCTTGTGTTGGCGATCGAAACGTTGTAGTTTTTTGTTATTGTGATGGAAACGTCGTAGTTTTTTTGTTATTTTATTTTAACCTAATGTATGTCATTTTACCGAAAGACCCAAAGAATATGAATTACTGCATTCACGAAAGTTTTAAGTCAAGATTTAGATGTGTGTTTACATGTGTGCGTAGTGTAGCAGTTAGCGCGCTGCGCTACGAACCCGGCGACCCGAGTTCGATTCCTGCTCACGGCCAACACCAGTGACGATTATCTGAACCGGTTCTGGGCCTCAAATGAGTACCTGGTGCGGTGTGTAAACATCCCCACTGGGGGAACAAATGCGTCTGGGCGCGCTGCTGCCCACGGGCCGTTCGTGTGCTGTGTTGGCCTTAATCGGTGCTACACGCTAACAGCCCTTGCCCCAAAAGTCCGTTCTGACCATATGGGGGATCTTTGACGTCTTGTGCATAATACTAATCACGTAAATCCAATTGTCAATCTACTGCTGGATGAAGGCTTCACCACACCGCGGGGGTGATTAAACCATACTTCACCACGCTGATCAGAGTAGGATGGGGAAATTGGTGGCGGCACGGGAGGGCCGCTTCAATACGTCGCTCCCCACCGACGTTCAACTCGAGCGAGCACGTGTGTACAGAACGCACGTTGAACTTCTTTCGCGCCGTACGTAGCCAACCGTGCCAATTGGAGGTGTGCGTCCGCGCGCGCGCTGGCGCGCTAACCGCTTCGCCACCGCTCCACCCCCACGCGGAGAACCCCGCGTGTTGTCTGCGTCCTCTGGAAGCTCGGCAATTATCCCGGGCGAGGCTGTGACAGCCGTCGCGGGCGGCCTCGATTCGGAGCGCCGTAAAGTTCCCGACTCTCACCGGTGCGCTCCCTCTACCGCGTGCGCCCCTTCCCCTCCCCTTTCCCCCCGGGTGACGAATCGCGTTCACCATCTCCTAACGCGATTTGCAGAGAGGTTCCAAACGCGCTCGCGAGAAGTATAAATGGAAAAAACAAAAACAACATCCGAGCAGTTGAATGGTAACGAGGAATCGGTGTCTGTGTCTTCAGAGTGTGCGGCTCGGTGACTGGCCACACACCCCCTCGTGCGCCGTGCCGGCCTTCATAGCACTTGCCCCAACAGTCTGTTAAGGCTATACGGGGAAGGGGAATCGTTGTCTTTGTGGCTTGACGATGAGTAATGGTGGGAGGTGTGCAGGCGGTGAAACTGCACAGGAGACTGCGTACCAGAGGGACCCGGACTTCGGGCTGCCAAGAGGGGAGGCATTAGGCATGAGGGCTTCAAATCCTCTCCTTGTACCGTACCCGAGGCACATGCCAACCACACATTGCTCCATGGGCTGCAGTGTTAATCACTCTGGCTCATACACAGAGTCAGACACGGGGTGCCCAACGGTTCGGTAATAATTCAGGAGACTTGCAAAGCCAGCCTCAGGCTATCAAGGAGATCAGTGTTAATTTAAGAGGCCCACAGAGCCAGACTAAGGCTACCCAAGGGGTTCGGTGTTAATTAAAGAGGCTCGCAGAGCCATACTAAGGCTACTCAAGCGGTTCAGTATTAATTTAAGAGGCCCACAGAGCCAGACAATCGCTCCCCAATGGTGAAGTCGACGTCGTAGATATTGGGGGTGCAGGTGGGGCACATGCACTGCGCCTACGGGCCACAGGAACCCAGACGCCCGGGCTACGTTGAGTGGGGGAGGGGTGCGGTTTAATGGGGGGGGGGGAGGAATTCAGCTTGGGGGTCCCATATTTTTCCTGGCACCGGGACCCATGCCACTGAACTCCGGGCTCGCGTGGTACCGGTGCTGTGTGCGCGCGCGCGCGACCTTCCCTAAAGACGGGGAGAGTGACGTGAAAATGCACGGGCCGAGCCTTTGTCTATCCGCTGGTGGATGAAGGCCTCCCCGTAACATGTTGCTTGTCTAATTTGTCTGACCATACTTCGCCACGCTGGTCAGCGCGGGTCGGTGTGAAAGGCGGGGCGAGTGGTGGGGGGGGGGGGGGCTTCAGATATCACTCGCCACCGACGTTAGCCTCGGCACGGAATCACAACTCGAACTCGCTAACCGCTGCGCCACCGCTCCACCCGGTCAACGTGGATATTATTATAATCAGCACGGATTATGTAACAGCAGGTGCCCTGGCAGCGGCAGCAGCAGCAGCAGCTGCTGCTCTGTACTGCACGCGCCGTGCTAATTGGACAGTCGGGCGGTGCGGTGACCCCGCAGGGGCCCGTGACGCAGAGACGCCACGGAGAGAAGTTTTCGTTGAACCCGGAGCGAGTGCGAGACGTTGGGGCCGCGTCGCCAGCTCGCGTGTGGGAGCCGACGCGAGGCCTACGCGGTAACCCGATCCTTAACCGTATCCGCCCAACCCCTATAGTCATAACCCTCGCTTCAACCCTGTGAGCCTATAACTCTACCCCGAACTATAATCTTAACCCGAGTCCTAACCGTGATGAACCTGCAAGCCTAGCCCTACCTCGAAACTCAGTTTTAATCCTGACCCCAACTCTACACTGAACTTTGACCATAATCATCACCATTACCCGAGCACTGACTCCGATCCCAATGCTAGCCCGAACTCTGACCTCCAACCGCAAATCTACAAAGACGACGGCCACTTCATCGCGCGCTTTCAGATGCGCTTCTGCGGCCGTCTGGAACGCTCTTCCTTCCGATGTTAGGAAGCCACTGGAGCTCTGTACTTTTAAATCATCATCATCATCATCATCTCGAGTGAAAACTCGTTTCTTTAAAACTGCTGTTTGTGTTTTGGTTTTGTCGTCCTTCCCCCGCACCTCCGATTAGGCTGCGTAGGGTGCGAAAGAAGTTCAACATACGTACATACAACACACACACAACAAACATTCAATATGCATACACACAACATACATGGTACGTACGGTGTACCCCTAACCGCAGCGTCACCCAGCCCTACACTCACCCCAACACTGCAATCACCGCAGCGTTCAGAGCGCACTCGCTCGCTGACTGTCACGGGCGCGAAAATCGTCAACAACCGAGCAGCAACTAAACAATAAGCGAGCACCACCAACAACAACCGCACAACTAAACAACCGAACAACAGCAACGTTACCGGTAGCAGTGTCATCGGCAGCGGTGGTGCAATCCGCCTTCAGCGATGCACGCAGCTGGATCGCTGAGCGGTCGGGTGGCTGGGAAAGCTAACTAGTTAACTGACTTGGTAACGAGTTAACTAACTTGGTCACTGTCTGGTTGTCTGACTTGTGGGTAGCTGGCTGGCTTGCTAGCTGAGAGGCTAACTTGGTGACTGTCTGGTTGTCTGACTTGTGGGTAGCTGGCTGACTTGCTAGCTGAGAGGCTAACTTGGTGACTGTCTGGTTGGCTGGTTTGGTTTCTGGCATGCTCGCCGGGCCGCTCATTCGGTTGGCGCCTTCTCTCTGCGTCTGTCTGGATAGTGGAGGCGTCTTCTCTGTGTCTTTCTGGATAGCCGGGGTGTCTGGCTCACACTCTCCCAGCGGCTGGCGAGCCGAGCGGCTCACGTTTTGTTTTGCCGGCTCGGCTGCGCTGAGCCGCCGGCCGCACGCGATGGGACGCGGCGAGGTGTGCGCGTCGCGAGCTTCCCCGCCCGAGACTCTGCCGCTTCCGACTGGCGAGCCACGGAGGGCGGTGTGGGGGCTGTGGGGGCAGGCTCACCACGGGGCCGGAATGTAAACAGATGAGATTCCAGCAGGGCTGGCGAAGAGACACTGAGGGGGAGGGGTGGGGAGAGGAGGGGTGGGGGGCGGCCTGCATTCGTCCTCGCAGGACGAGGCGCGCGACGAGGTTTCTTTTGCTGTCGTCGTTAAAGGCCGCGGTTGGTGCGAGCCAGGACCCCCTCCTCTCTGGGGCAGCGGGTCTCAAGCACGTGGAGCGAAACGTCGGACATGGCGCCGAACGCAACGCGCGGCGCGACCAGAAATCACGTGTACTCCATTCGCGTGCGAATTTAAACCACTCGCTTGCATGCGCACTGCGCGCGCCTGATGATTGCCATTCCGCTCTTATCTCTAGAAACGAAGGTCGCGAAACGATTTGGGTTGTTCAACGAGAATTTCCAAACAAAATATCCGACATTCAAACCGTCGGTGTGTGTCGGTGTGTGTGTGTGTTGGTGTGTGTGTGTCGGTGTGTGTATGTTGGTGTGTGTGTCGGTGTGTGTGTGGGAGAGGGCGGGACCTGGCCTGACCTGATAGCCACAACGAACCGCTCGGCAACCACCGCCTCACCGCCATCTGCGAGTTCAAAAAGCAAGCGACACCGAGTGACCGTCAGTGCACGTTGGACAAAGCGATGAGCACGCGTGTGGATTGCAGGCCATTCATGATCTTATCCACTGCGGCGAATGGACAGCTGCAGAGGCATCGAGTGGGGCCGCTGTGTAGCGTACACGGTGCACGGTAAGCAGGCTAAACCCACTCTCTACATCGGCTTTATCTTTCCGTGGGAGGCAAATTGCTTTCCCCCCGCACTCGTGATAGGCAGTGTGTGTGCGTGCGTGCGCGCGAGTGTTTAGCTTGGCATTTAAAGTGAGGCGGAGGTTTAGACTGGGCCTGCCCGACGATTGAAACCAATCGAAATCCAGGCCCTGTTGATTTGTGGTTGCAGTCAAAAAATAATATTGTGGTTTGAGATTTATTTTTGGTCGTAAGAAAGGCTCAATGTCTGCTTCGGCACATCAACACGATCCATAATACAGGTTTTTTTTTGGGTTAGATCGCGTAAACATATCAATGTGTCGTTAAACCCGCCACCACCCGACACAGCCAATTAGTAAGGTTTGTCACGTAAACAGAGCATGCCAAATTCGTTACTGGCACAGCACACCGGTGTCTTGGAGAGCCAGGCTACGAGTCACGTGCTTACTACGAACTACCGGCGACCCACACAATGTTCGGTGAGAAATCAGTTCATAGTTGCTAGGCATAGACTAGACGATATTTGTGCACGATGTGAGCATTCCAGGCCTTCGAGAACACCAGAAGGGTTTGATTTCACCGCTCCACCAATCAAATCGCAGCCACCAATATGATCGTGAAGAATGGGTTAGTTTAAAACGTAAGAACGTTTATGTTTTACTGCAGTGCACGTACATCTATCTCTGCATGTACAGCCGTTTGGTCGGTCCACTGCTGGATGGGGGCCTTGCTCGTACAGCCTCGTGGCCACGCGTGTGAGAACCCGGTCCCGACGCTGGTCACCTATAACCAGCACTATCCAGGCGCAACCCAGCTTAGCTTACGCGATCTCACAACATCGGGTGCATTGCGGTTTGATTTCGTCAAGGGAAGTGTGAGCATTTTTTCATTAGCAAAAAATATTCAATTACTGTCTAACATTTAATAATATTCCACTGTTGCCCAAGCGAGACCCCATCGGCACGAGAACCCTCCCTTACAAGGGAGGCCCGGGGTATGTAATTTTCCACTGTATCTCAAGGCGGTAACGTTTCAAATGAGTACCTGAACTGTCAGCAGGAGGTACGCAGATGCGGAGCGAGGGATACGGGAGAAGGAGCAGAGAGGGAGGAGGTGGGGGAGGTATGGAGAGAAAGGGAGGCGAGGACGGGGTCACTCGGTGTTTGAGAGTTGCCTTGCTCAGATTAGATTCCTCACTCCAACGTGGAGAGAAGCACGCTTGGCATTACACCGAGAGACGCAGCGAGGAACGCGGGGATCAGGGAACACACTGAACATCATCACCAGTAGCAGTATCAAGGATAAAAATACATTATCATTATAAGAAGCAGCAGAAGTAATGTAAATATCGATACCATCAGCGGCAGCAGCATGAAAACCATGAGCAGCCTCAGTATAATTCAAATCACCATCGTCAAAAGGTCACGTTCCATCCACTGCTGGATGAAGGCCACGTCATTGCCATCCCTCCACGCTGCTGCGATGCCACGATCCATCACGAGCTGTCGTTACGGGGCGCGTCCCCCCACCGCTTCCCATTCCGTCGCCAGTCCGCGTCCATCGGCCGTGGTCCCCTTCAACCTACGGCTGCTAAGTGGTCGCTCTTATTCAGGGGCTCACACGGCTGGCGCGCCTCTCCCCCCCCCTCTCTCGCGCGTCTCTTCCCCAATCCAGCGGGCGTCCCGCGTTCTCGTCTCGCCGTGAAAATCACAGGGGCGAATATCTCCCTCCTCCTCCTCCCTCCACGCCACTCTGCACGGCGCACCCTTAGAGCCTTTGTTCCACTTTATTTGTCACTGTTCGGGGTCCTCATCCGGGGGTGTTCATCGCCGGCAACCCGCACTGACAATTTTAACTTGTTTTCCCCTCCGCGGTGCTGGGGATCGCGTTCGCGCAAGTGTGTGTGTGTGCGTGTGTGTGCGTGTGTGTGGGCCCGGGTAAAACTACGTGGCCGGGAGTCAGAGCCATTCCCTGTACACCTTGGGGTGCGACAGGGATGTCCTCTGGCTCCCACATTATTTAACATCTATTTTGACCACGTAGTTCGTGAAGCCTTCAATAGCTGTACCGGGGGAATCTCCATATGGTACAGATATAATGGGAGGCTGATCGATGCCCGGGTGCGGTCAAGGGATGGCTCCCTATTGCTCAACCACGTTATGTATGCCGATGATTTGGTAATAGCTGCTCATTCAGAGGAGGAGTTGGAGACGCTGCTGCTGAGACTGGAGCGTGCCACTAAGAGATTGGGCCTTACCATCAGCCCCACCAAAACTAAGCACCTGCCTGGGTATTTTGTACCATCGGACACTCCACCCCCACAACTCCCAAATGGTGATGGGGCAGGTGTAGAGAGAGTGGAGAGTTTCCCATACCTGGGCAGTGTGCTTATGACCGGCTCCAGTTTAACAGCAGAGGTTTCACTCCGAATCAGTCGAGCGGCAATATCTTTTCATCGGTTGCGTAACGCTGTGTGGAAGCTACTTGGTCTGTCGCTCCGCACGAAGCTTGAGGTCTTCTCGGCCACGGTCATTCCCTCCCTTCTCTACGCTTGCCGGTTAGAAACATTTAGGCTAGCCTGCCTACGATCCATCCTGGGTTTAACCAGGCTGGATTGTGTGAAGAGCTCACAAATCCTTGAAAGATCTGGACAAGGTCCCATCGGTGAGCTCCTCCGGCAGACAAGGCTGCGTTGGCTGGGTCATGTAGCCCGCATGCCCAGCCACCGCATGCCGAAACAGCTTTTGTTCGGCCGGATCGAGGGGGCTAAACGGGCGCGGCACGGGCTAGAGAAGAGATGGAGTGATGTGGTACAGGAGGACGTGGAGCTGAGTGAACTTGTCGATGACTGGTACCAGCGGTGTCAAGATCGGCCTCTGTGGAGGAGGCTCGTGAAGGACGCTACTGGGCAGTTGGAGGCAGTCGCCCTCCAACAACAACGGAGGGCGGAGGAGCGACGCTCACAACAACGAGCGGAGCGCCGGGTGGCTAAAGCACAGCAGGTTGGCACAGTAGGGGGCACAAGTGGTGCATCAGCCAGTCATCTCAGTCAGCCGATCCGTGGCACTTGGGTCTGCCCCCGTGACCTCCTGCCAGCGGGCGTTCGACACTTCACGTAGCCTCAAGGTGCACATGGCCTGGCACAAGCGTCGTGGTGACGTCACCGCCACTAAGTGGCGAATAGCGGTTGTTGTTGTGTGTGTGTGTTACGTGTGTGTGTGTGCGATCGTCGCCGCGTGTCTCACGCGGCAACACCTCCGGCTGTCACCTGTGACCCCGTGACGAGGCGCCGTCCGCAGTCGCCAGCGGCACGGTGACTACCTCCAACTTCCTCTCCCTGGGAGTGGAGCCAAGGTCCGTGATGAGACTTGCTGCTCACTCTTTCGCTCTTACTCTCTCGCTCGTGATCTCTACAACTCTCTCTCTCACGCTCTACCGTTCTCTTCTGCCGTCTATGTCTCTCCCTCTCCTACCTGCTGTCTGTCTGTCTCTCTGTCTTCACTCCCGCCCTCTCTAACGCTCTCTCCTTTGATCCCACTCTTCTGTTTTCTTCGCCTCTCTTCAAAGTCCCGGGACCTGAGAACGCGGTCGTCAAGCTCTCGGCTTACGCAGGCGACATACAGTATGCGTCGTGCTCAATGACGCGCGTGACGTCTCCGCGCTCTGCCAGGCGGTTGCAGTGTACGAGAGGGCCTCCTCCGCCAGGGCCAACTGGCCCAAGTGCGAGGCCTCCTCTGTGTTTGGGGTCGCGAGGCGGCGTTCGCTCTGTGCTCCTCCCTGGAGGAGTCGTTTGGCGGGACGACGGAGTCAAGTACCTGGGGGTTTTACCTGGGGCAAACCACGTGACGTCGCTTTGAACAACTGGACCGAGTTGGCCGACACAATCGAGGCTAAATTACTGACATGGGCACCACGCCTCGCTCCGCGGATGTCATTCAGGGGCCGAGTGCTCGTCGCTAACACCCTGGCAGCATCCGTGCTGTGGCACAAGACCAAGGCCCTCCAGCCTCCTGCTTGGCTGCTCACCAGAGTCAACCGCTCACTCGCGCACTTCGTCTGGCATGGTAAAAACTGGCTCAGGCCGGGCGTCCTCTGCCTGCCGGTGGGCGAGGGTGGCCAGGGTCTGGTGGACGTCGCCGCCAGGGTCACGAGTTTCAGGCTTATGGCAGTCAGGCGGCTGCTGTACGACCGGGAGGAGCTATCCTGGAAGTCGCCGGCCCTCGCCCTGCTGAGGAATGCAGGGGGGTGCCTGGGGTACGGAAAGGAGCTCTTCCTGATGGACCTGAGCCTGGTCGACTACACGAGGCTGCCAGGTTATCACCAGAGCCTCTTGGACGCGTGGCGGAGCTTCGAGTGGAGCAGAACGCGCGCGCCCTACGACCTCGCGCAGTTCCTGAACGAGCCCTTGTTCTGCAACGGCCTCTTCCAGGAAATCAGAGGAGAGAGGACCCTGGCTCAATGCCTCACATCAGCAAGGCTGCAGACAGTCTTCCACCTCGTGCAGGCCCCCACCAGCCCAAGTGGAAGACCGCAGCTGAGATCGCCAGCACAGCAGGGCTCCGCTCCATGCTCGCTGGGGAGAAGCTGCTGCGGGACGTCGCTCCGTGCCATGAAGGAGCTGCGCCTGAAGCTGGAGGTGCCGGGGGATGGTGGCGGCCCTACCACCCTCCCCCTCTTTCTCCTTCCCGGAGTTGTGCTTCTCCTTCGCGCAGCCCCCTGGCCACAGCCACTCCGGCAAGCTACTGAAGCTCCAAGGCTGCAGGAACGTGTCCCTGAAGAGTGCCCCAAACACAGCGCTCTACACGTGGCTGTGTAAA